TATAAAAGGTGTGCAACAATCAGTATCGAACCGTTCAATACACACTGTGTTTGGAACAATGCAGATGCAATGCAATGTTTGATTTAAAAACTGTACTTTTGAGGTTAAATAAATGTTCGTAATTAATTACAAGTTAAGAAGGGCATGGAAATTTGTCTTTTTTTGCATCAAAGAAATGCCGAACCGTGAGATTAAAGTATCAAATGGAACCGAATCGTGACTTTTCTGTATTGTTTCACACCTAATACCCTAATTTAATCTGGGACACTAGTGTTTATAACAAGTTGATATCTAAATATTTTAATTGTAAATATGACAAAGAATACTATTGTTCCTACTGTCAATGAAAAAAATTGTTTTGCCATTTTTTCAAATACAAACCATTTCAACTAACAAACTGTTGAAAAGATTTAGGAATTGCATTAAGTTTTTAATGATTTTGTCACTAAGTAATACATTCAAAATGACAATTTATTCCTCTTAATACTGAGGCAATAAATAGCATAAAACTGTTAAGAAAATGTGTTTTTCACTTTTCAATGAGAACGTTTTTTATTTAAAAATGGTCTAAAAATGAGTGCTAATGCCAAATTTAAGTCTCAGTATTTCTCTTTTGCTCCTTGTTGGAGTAAATAAAAACATAAAATGTGTTTTTTCTTTCTTTTTCTCTTTAGTCCTCCAGCAGGTCTGAACTTCCTCGATCACATTGTGGGAAACCAACCAGATGACCAAATGGTKCCAGTTTCAGACTGGTAAGACTCCTGTCTGAGTGCACGTACACCCACTGTGGGTCCAKCAGACACACGAGGCAAAAACACAAAGTAAACACTGCGCTGACGTGAGGGCGACACGGCAAAACACAGGCTTCAGCACAAGATGATTACTTTAGAAAATGAACGAATCCAGATCATGTCTCAGACTGTTTTCCTGTTTGTTTGTTTTTTTGTCGAAACATCAGGTATCAGAAGTGTCTGATGTTCCACCGGTTCTGGTCCATAGATGACAAGCAGATCCACACACAGTACAGCGCGCTGAGGTCCATTGTGGTGACAAACTATGAAGAGACCATAAAGATGCCCATCAATGAGCCGGCCATGGGGAAGAAGAAGTCACAGATCCAGGTGGGATCATTTCCTTCAGTTCTCCGACCTGCACCGCTTTGTTCAAACAATACAAAGAACATTTACGTGGTTAAAATATCRACATTTAGAGTCCAGTACCTCTGTGTTCACAGGAATATGTGGACTATAACGGGGGGGCGGGTGTTCAGCACATTGCCCTCAACACAACAAACATTATTCAGTCTGTAAGTCTTTTACCTCTCAGATAACTGAACTCCACGTCTCTGACAGACACAATTTAGACCCAACCTTTTGTTGCTGTTGTTGGTAAACAGATTAAAAACCTGCGTGAACGAGGGATGGAGTTCCTGTCCGCTCCGGACACGTATTATGACACCCTGAGGGAGAAACTCAAGGATGCCAAAATCAAGGTGAAGGAAGACCTGCAATGCCTACAGGTGAGGACATTTCATCAGCGTTGTTCTTTAAAGGCACAGTGTGTAGGATTTGTTTGTTTTCAGCGACATCTAGTGGTTGAGTGGTTGAATCATCCTCCCTGGTCAATACTGCCCCCTGCTGCATCTACACAATATGGTACTGCACCATAGTTTCAATGATTGTATTTTAATGTTTTACTGTAATACTGTCTTTATGTTGTCCTATTGCTGTAATGTATTGCACTTAAGTGTCAATAATTGCATTGGCAAGGTAAACTTTTTCTGTATACATACAATCCAATCCCTGGGATTGTCCTTTGCCACATCTTCTATAGTCTCATGATGAGCACTGTGGGCTGTCATGCAGGAGATCAGGGTTCAAATCCAGCTACTGCAACTTTAACAAAATTCTCTTCAAACTTCATATTGTCACACAATTACCTTAATTACAAACACCTGCTGATGTGACAGGCACAAGTTGGTATAGAAAACACATTTGAACTTGGTCAAAGTTCATTCTGAAAGTCCAGTGCTCCTGCATACATTGCCCTACAGCTGCCATTGTAATTT